TTCACCCAATCGCGGCCCGACCTGTTCGGGGGTTTAGCCAATCACGGGTCTGAGAGCTGTTCAAGCCAGCAGCGCCAGGTGGATCGGCTTGTTTAATGTCAATGAGAATCTATTTTTGAAATGCTTTACTTATTTGCAAAATAACTGCATCAGCTTATTTTTAAACGTCTTTATTGATTCATAATGTCCCGCACTCTTCGAAATACATTTTTTATTTGCAATATAACTGTCTCCGCTGCTTTCTGTGATGAATACATGGTATTTGAACATTTTTAATCGTATATTTGAGGTAGGGGAAACACCTTCTGCTTGAATAGAAATGTAAAGTCTATGATCATTATATTATTATGCTCGTGCTTTCAATTTTGTTTTTTTATTGTTAAATTATATAAATCTTGAAACTAATACCTAAAAATGTGAATATGTGCTCTCGTGTTGTACCAGCGATAATTTGGAAACTGGTGTCGCTTATCCAGTGAAAAGAGTACACCAGCAATACATTTTCGAGAAATTGGTTAAAAATTAAAAGAAAACACCTAACCCAATGAACTAACATAGTAACTGCTCCCTAAATGTAAGACTGCTTATTCATGTAAAGGCTGCAAAGTCTGGGGTCAACTGATCAAGATCACAACTGAAGGATCTGGTGGTCGTGACTTTGCAGTTTTGTACATTACAGAGTGGCGTCACAGCTAGGAAAAGAAGGCGCTATATTGAAATAGATTGAAACATCCACCACACCCGACCAGACAGACTCGGAAAACAAACTACCCCCATTGTTTTCATCACGATCATTAGTTCAAGTACCAAGTTTGTTTTGTTGGCACAAACCGGCACAAACGTAGCACTAACGAATGAGGTGGGTTTCACCGCTTGTGCTGTCTGTAAGGGGGGCAACTTCATGAGCTCAAGGTAAACCCTGCATGGTATTTTAAATAAAATTTTTCGGTCGGATTTTGAATCTTGCGTTGAGTTCATTGTTTTGCAATAAAGTAATAACTTCAGAGTAACTCGTAAAACTACCGAACAATCTAAAAGCAGGCATACGAAAT